CCTCTCAATTACCATTTCTGCATCAATAAATATAGTCTTTTATTCAGAAAAAAGCACATGAAATTGAAAAACAAAAGCATGTTTCAAGTAATATATGACATGGTGCTGTTTCTGGAACCTAAATTCTCAGACTATATTTATTGATGCAGAAATGGTAATTGAGAGTAGAGAGATAAAGTTCAAGTAAAGATAAGGGAAGAGCATTGAGTGGCTCAAGAAGCCAAATGGTTTAGGAACATTGTGTGTGTATGTGTTTGTGAACATATGTTTTCTAATGATACAAAAACTGAATTCACCAAAATTAGATATTTGTGAGCACATTTACAGTTTGCAGTCTTAAGATTTCCTCCAGCTTTTTCTTCAAGTACTGTTATTTTTTTAAGATAATTTCGCCAGAGGTCACTGCTGAACTTCTGGATGAGTTATTCAACGTTTTAGGGAGCTAGCTATAATAGAGTTGGGTACTGGGGTTGCCCATCAGAGAAGAAAATCTGTACCCTTAACAACATCAAGGCCAAACAAGCAGTCTAGAACATGAATGGAGAATGAAGGGCTTTAGAAGAGATAACCTCAGTTGAAATGCTGGCAAAGCATCTCCTCTGCCTCTTTAGTTTGTAGTTTGTAGTTTGTGCTATTTGAAATGTAACTATTACCGTTCAAATAGCCACGGATATATATTTTGAACTCTTATAGAAATGACTCATTTGGAATGGCCTTCGCATCATTTATGGCCCGGTACTGAGGCATTGGTTCAACTCTTGGTTCATTATTCTTGTGGAACATTCTTTTGAGTGAAGAACTTGGAATCTTTTATTCGATGTATAAAAAATGTGCTGTTTTTGGTACAAATCTGTGGATTTTGTGAGGTCTGAGTCACTTGTTTTGAGAAATATGACAATATTTGAATCCAGAATGTAATTTAATGCTTTCTTTTTGACATCTTTAACCAGATTGTGTGAGAGCTGAACCTGTAATATTGAAGAAGCTGGAAGCATTGCCAGATGATGTGGCACTTCTGCGAGCTTATGTTGGAGATAGACCAACATGGAGGAATCCCCAGCACCCATGGCGAGTAGACTCAAGGTTCAAGCTCAAAGGAGTTCCTACATTGATCAGCTGGGAGAATGATGCCATCAAAGGTCGCCTTGAGGACTACGAAGCTCACCTTGAACACAAGATCAATGCCCTTGTTTCTGGGAATTAACTTGGCATTATTCCAGCTTATGAGATGGTTGGAAATCTTATGATTCTTATTAGGACTATCCGAACATTTACCCAATCAAGTGTAGCTTGTTCGTCTTGCACCTAGAGCTTTCAAGTCTTTGTGAAAGCCTAATGAAGCCCAAAAAGACATTAATAGCTTCTTGATGATATTATGTTCCAAGAAGTTGCCCAGAAGAAATCAAGAATGTCTTCTTTTTCTTTTTTATTTGTCTAGAGAAATTTGGTGTTTTTGGTAGATGGTAGTTGTTATAGTTCTGCAGTCGATCAAAACCAGTGATTTGAATTGGAATCATTGAGAACAACCTTTGGGGCTGTGAGAGCAGACTCTGCTAATCCAGCACTTCGGATGCAAAGGCTCACAAAATGCGCGTTGTGCATGCAATAGTTTTGAGTCTCTTAGTGGGAGTGTTTAGTTTTGGCAGTGGAAAATTATGATGATGGTCCGCCATGCTGTTGGATGCTGATCCATACCTGTTTCAAGAAGCCAGCAAAATTGCTCACTTCAATTGCTGGTTCTGATCTAAACATGAAACAAGGGGATCTGAACCATTTTTTTTTTTTTTCACTATTTCTACCAGATCCATTAACAACAGATGATAGAAATAGAAGACCTTGTTACTTAGGTTAAAATGCCTCTTTGATTACAATGATTTGGCATGTCTTCCCAACTTGCATAACCCATTCACAGTGAGTTCTACAAAATCTCTATCACCATGCATCCCCCACCCCCTTACATGTAGGGTGATTTACATTTTAACTGTTTCATTTTTCAGTAATCAGGTAAATTGGCCACTAAACCAGGACAAATAGCAGTAGTAAATGATCAACATCACTTTCAATAGGTCTCCAAAAATGAAATCAATTTCTAAATATTGTGGTTAATATTATTTCTTATAGTCATACCTATACATAAGGCCTGCAAGGCACTTTAAATAGCTTCTATAACTTCATAATTGGGCCTTTGATAGCGTTGAAGTCAACTTCAAAGCAATGTCACCATAAGGTTCCTCCTGTTGAACATCAATAAGCCCATAGCTCTTCAAAACCTGCAATTCACCATAAAAAATCACATAATAAGAAGCACGGTGAAGGAAGAAAGGTTGCATTTTTAATGCTTATGAAAAGATGTAAGAATCATCAAAATGAGAATACTGCTTAAAGATAAAATTGTTTGATGAAGAACAAATTTCAGGACTAAGCCACCATGATGGAACTAAGAAAAGTTTGCCAATATAAGAACCATGTGCCAAGGAGCCACAGACAATTCTATGCACTAGCTGTGATTTGCCAAACAATAATCCTGTCTTGGAATGAAAGATAAAGCATCTAAAGATGCAAAAATCTTTAACAAACCTGAGTGCACCAAATGTGTGATATTAAAGAAATAGTTGCACGATAATAAACAGCTTTAAGTAAACCATTTTCTCTTTAAAAATAATTATGAATTATTAGGTGGTCTGCTTTACCTCAGGTACCATAAACCTATTATCTGCAGAGACAGACATACTCGAGAATGCTTGTAGCCAAAAAGTTAGACAAGAGAATACAGGTACAAGCTGTGTTACATGTTATGTAACTGAAACACATTTATGGAAATAATTGTGAAAATATCAATAATTGTTAGGCAAAATAAGTCTCTGAAAAAAGATTTGCTAGTGAATGCACAAACACATATAAGTCTCCAATAGAGGAAACTACTACTAGAAGGCAATAAAAAAAATTCATTAAAAAGAAAACAAATAAAGGATCGTATCTTTGATGAAGTGATTAACAGTCAAGTCTACAGCACAGGCCTAAACACTGCACCTGATCCCACTGATAAAACAAACTTGGTGGTTTTCCTGGTATGTTAAAAAGTATAAATATCAATGAAAACAGAGGGGAAGCAAAGAAAGAGGTTCAATGACTGACTTTTGATGAGAAAATTAAGTGGTTCCTAAGATAGGCAAGGTAAACACTGACAAAGTTGATGAATATGTGAAGTTCATGTCCATAGAGAGACCAATTTACTTGGTTCATAAGAAGTCTAAAATTTATGGACACAAAAGCAATATTTGGCTGGGTGGTTAGTACAAAGGATACTGGAAATCAATTTTTGGTGGGGTGGTTAGAAGAAAGGATACTAAGAGGATCAACAACACGCAAAAAGAAACTGAGGCAGGAAAAATTCTTTTCTGAACATGATTGGCGTTTTCAAGGAAACAAGCAAATAAATCATGTTGAAATCACCATAGATCCATCTATAAGACAACAATAACAAGTTCTTCTAAACAGAATTGTCTTTATTTCTGCTTTGAAGTGGATAAAAAAAAAACCATCGTAAAAATTGAGACTAACTGCACCACAAAGTCAGCATTCTTGCTATAAAAAAGGACAGCTTAAGAAGCATTAGGTCTTGGGATTCAATAAAGTTTAATTTTATCTTTATGGTTTTACAATGCAAGCTTCTTGCTCAAGATTCAAAGTTGAATCATTGCCTTTTGGCCCCAGAGTAAAAGACCAAGTAATGCTGAATATGCGGTAGTATTGTCATGATAACAGGAATTGGAGAGGGAACAATGACAGGGTCAAAACACTTCAACAATCTTTGTTTAAATGGGGAGGCTTTCTTTCCTTCATGGTTTTTTTCTTTCACAAAAAGGTTTAGATTGGTGGTAACTGACAAAGGATCCATTATGCATGAAATGACTTTGCAGCTTACCATTGTTTCAAAGAACATCCGAGCACATAACTTTCTCGTTTTTCCTTGTAAGATACTGGTGAGACTGATATCTCCAGATGACTCTTCTGACAATGGGATAATAGGAGAATGTTCTTTTAAATATTTAGCCACACCCCTGCATGCCAGCACAAGCAAATAAAAAGACAGCAGCTAAAAGGAACTGATAATTTTGAATCAACAGGAAAGAATTTCCTCCAGGCATGGGGAATAAAGAAAAAGAAAGTACCTTGTCCTCACAGACAATGAATCAATGTCTCGAGTACCCAAGGATCCTGCAATAAGCATAAATCTGTCATCCACATATCATGCATTAAAAAATAAAGTTGTTGAAATTGTGTACATTTGATATTATTCAATTTCTAGGAAACAAGAAAATATCAGCTTACCAACTGGTGTGTTGTCTGCTTCTAGTATTTTAGCAAGGCCCTACAAAAATATAATATTGGAGTCAGGAGTATCATTAACTTCGTCAAGTAGCTCAGAAGAAAAGGTGCAAGAACAAGGTTTGATATGACACACAAGGAATAAGGCATGAGTTTTATGCTTTATGCATCTACAATAATGAAAAAATTGTAAGTACAAGTGCATTATTGAGAAGTGGAGTATGAAATATCATGTACATGCCTTACTTTCAAATCAACAGCTTCATATATTTTAGCTCTGAGAGTGACATGGGCCATGCAGATGTAGCAGCAATTACAATTAAAAAGAAACACAATTATAGAAACTGTCAATGCAAAAGCATGTGACAAAAGGAATAAAGAGTCTAGGTTCTCAAATCACAAGAAAACAAACTACTTACATCATCTTCTGCAGTCTTCATCAATTCAGGAATATCAGAGAGCCCAGTGTTCTGTTCACCTAACTGATAAGTTCCAGGGGAAGCTGAAAATTCTGGAGTGTGCACAGTTGTAGATGTTCCTTCCTGGGGTACTGTTCCTGATCCAAAGCTGCTTATTGGCATGGGAGTGAAGTCATCTCTTCTAAGAGAAGAAGGCATGAATCTTCCTGGAGAAGGCATGGGCATTGCTGGAGAAGGCAGGTCTGATAAAAAGTCATTGCCATCATGATCTCCATCATTTCGAAGTCGTTCGATTTCCATATCGATTTCAGGTAAAACACTGTGGTCATAACAGCCTAGATCCTGTTGGGGTCGCTCCTTTTCCATGCCAGATTGACGTCCTGGAACAGGAGATTGTGCAATCATAGGCTCTGAGATGGGTTCAGCTGTGGGAGCAGGAGAGCTTGCCATCCTAGGCTCAGGGATGGCTTCAGTTTCAGGGCCAGGAGATGTTGTAACCCCATGCTCTGAAATAGCTCCCTGTTCAAGAGTCAAATGAGGTTTTGTAGTAATATAATCCCTCTCAGAAAGCTTGCATAAATCTTCACAAGACCCTGGTGATAGACAAGCATCAAAATTCTCTTGAAAATCAATTCCACAACCTTGAAGGTAATGAGCAAGAAAAAATTCATTAGAAGTAAGACCCCCTCACCAGTTATCAAAGGCTCATAAAAGATTTGTTCCTTTCTCAGACTATTGGTCAACCTCCATATACCCACCATAGAGGATGGCCTCGTCCTCTTCTGTCGCATCAGATCACTAGGATCCTCAAGTGCCCTCCTCATAAACCTAGCAAAGTTTCATATACTTGTATCAGTAAGCAGGGCCATGGAAAAAGTAGTTTTACACGCACCCATAACAAATCTTACCTATTAGTCAACACTGTGGCCTCATCAAATTGCATCCTCCTCCTCCTCCTCCTTGGCCGTGGCTGCTGAGCAGGTGGAGGCCCTGGTTGTGGCTGCTGAGCAGGTGGAGTTGAACGAATGGCAAATTGTGGTGATATATTCCCTGAAATAAAAACAAGAAGCTCGTTAAAAGTAAATATACAAGCCCTAAAGACACTTACAACCCAAGCATATAAGAAGTAAGCTCTCACCAAATGAACCATGTGTGTCAAAAACATCAGGAATATCTTGTGAAGCAGCAGAAGTAGGTGCTTTTGAATGCTGCTGAAATGGTAAAGACTTCTCTAGAGAAGGTAAAGCATCTTCCATTATTGGAGAAAGGAAATCCTTCTCATTTAGAACTTCGTCTAAAGATCTACTTGGTTCAGCTGCATCAACCCTTCTAGTTGGACTCAATGGAGGAAAGCTTTCTGAGCCCAAATCAGTGGCAGCATCACGCATAACTTCAATTTCTGGAGGGGAATTTTCCCCTCTAAGACTTTGGTTAAGACTCTCAGTAGGTACTGATGTCTGATTACTTGGACCAGGATCCTGAAAATCCCCAGTGTGCATTAGAACTTCTGTCTGATTACTTGGAGCAGGATCTCGAAAATCCTCAGTATCCATTGGGTCTTCTGGTTGATTACTTTGACCAGGATCATGAAAATCCATATCATCCACAAGCACATCTGTCTGATTACTTGCACCAGGTCCAGTCTCGTTATTCACAACTGTCTGAGTCCTTTGACCTGTATCTTGAGAAGGCAAGTCACCATCGCCTGGAGGTGGTGGATGGATACTGTAGTTACAAAAGGATTAATATTAGATGGATATCTTCATCTAAATTCCAAAAAAAGAAAGAGTGCATCTTTCAACTGCAATTTGGGGCATACTCATCCACTGGTCTAGCCTCTGAACTAGGATCCTGTTCTGGAACTGATGGACAGATATTATCCTACACAAAAATTGCATGCAAGTGATAATGCATTCCAATAAGTCATATCACAGTACAAAATCATCACCAAACCATAGAAAATAATATGGACCTCATCGACATGTATGGTGATGTAAGGAGAAATTTGATCTGTCATTGTGATTTCCTCGTAACTCTTGAGATGATTATCCGGGGACCTAACAACAAACCTATAGCATCAGAAATAAATTTTAAAACACAAAAACATGAACAAAAAACTTGAGATGTTTTAAAGTTTACCCTTCAGGATCTAAGTAATCACTCATGTCAAAGCCATCAAGGTTGAGGGTTGGTGGCAAAGTGATAGACTCGAATGTTGCTGTTGTGGCGTTCTCTGGCAAATTAACTTCTGTAGTTGTGAAAGCCTTGTTTAGCCCAGCAAGAGCAACGGTACAATCTTGGAAAAGGTAATCAACTTTCTTTTTATATATCCGAACAACACCTAGCAAAAGGTGGCCTGACATTCTCAACGCAATCGGAACTTCCGGGAACATAATTCGATCTAAAAACACATTCATAAGATAAAAAAAGAATTCAACGACCACAACTCCCGTCAGTATATTAGAAAATTAGATGTAACTAATTGAAAATTAAAAATCAGACAGGGGAATCAAAATAATTAAAAAAAAAAAAGAAGCACTGCGAAACCAGGGTTATTCACCGAAGAAGCAAAGATGTTTTCTTTCACAAATTAATCTTCATTACAATTCAAGAAAAAGAAGAAAGCTGGGGATTTAGACCTACTAAGCAAAGAAACATATTAGACAAATTTATTAATTCTCTTTGAAAAGTAGAACCACAAAACTGGAAAAACAATAAAAAAAAAACCTAAATTCCAACCACTGAAAAAAAAATTGCAAAATTTCCATTACCCTTAAAAAAAATTGCAAAATTAACATCTACAAAACCCTTCATTTTCTCAATGTAATGCAAATTCAGTTACGCTATAAGCAGTGTACCATATCAAAAAAATGCAGCTCAATTCATTAAAAAGAGAAAAGGATTGAAGAAAAAGAAGAGATTTTTATGCCACCAAATAGCTTAATCGATGAAAACAAATACAGCCCAGATCATAAAAGGCAAAAAATTACAGACTTAAGATCCAAAAAATCATTCTTTTTTTTAAAGAAAAAAAAAACAGAGAGTGATAGCATACCGACAGTGGAGGGGATATCAGTGGAGGTATAGTGAGATTTCTTGAGCCTGTGTTGAAGATGAGCAGCGCACCAAACAGTCCCTAAAGGACCCTTCCTTGCTAAGAACGTCTGCGAATAAAACATCTTCCTCTTCTTCTTCTAGGATTCTAAAGAGAGAAAGGGAATTCAAGAGAGAGTGGGGGAGGTTTTTCTTTTCATCTATCAGATAATGGTTTGAGGTTTTAGGTTTTATGCAGAGAATTAATTTTGGCGCCGGAAACGATACTGGCGCCAAAGGGAGAGGGCCTTCGTTTTTGTGTTTTGTAAAATGCGCTTCGTTATGTAGTTATTTACTTCTTCTGCCATTCCATTAACGATGAGATGGAGACGGAAACGACATTACTTGTGATTGAAACACTTGTCCATCAGCCAAAACAGGTTTTAGTTTTGGAAGATTTAATGTTAAAAACAATTTAGAATTGGGTTTTAATTATTTTCAAAATCCCACAATTACCATCCTCTTGTTTTAGGTCATAAGAAATTGCTCAATTTAGATTAATTTTATTATTTTCTTATAAGATCAGATATGATTTTCTCTGTGTCTATCTCTATCTTATATTGTATGTATATCTAGTAGTTATAGCTTTTATGTATATCTTTATTACATATCTTTAGTATCATAAAAATTCTCATATAAAAATTAATTGGCATTGTACTATTTTCTATCAATGCTAAGAATGTTGCAACATCAACTCCCAAAAATTTAAAAATCTTCCAAAATAATTTGGCATTTGATTTGGCTAATGAATGTGTTCTTGATTTGGCTAATGAATGTGTTTAAAATTATTGTTTATAACTTGATTATCTCTAAAGAATTTCTTTTCACCTATTGTGATTCTCGTATCATTAAAAAAAAAAAAAAACCATTCCACCTCATACGTGTGCAGGTATGGTAATGGATACTATCAAAGGGGGAGTGTGGTTTGAATCTAATTTAATCTGATTTTTTTATTAAATTAATATAATTTTAGTATTTTTAAATTGATATGATATAATGATATCAAAAATAATTTTTTAAATAAAAAAATAATATTAAAATATATTTTAACATGAAAAGTTATTTAAAAAATAATTGCAACCATATTGTTAAACAAACTAACTTCATATAATATTTTTTTTGCCATATTGTTAAACAAACTAACTTCATATAGTATTTTTTTTTTTTAGGAAATCAATTTTGATTTTTAAATAAAAAATTCTAATGCATAATAAATAAATTGATTTTCTGTTTTTTTTTAAGGAAGTCTTTTTTTTTTATTTCATTATTGATGCAGTTGCTGTGAGTTTATGACACTCTCCAACTGAAATCTAAATCTTATTTTATAAAATATTTTTTATTTTCTTGAAAATATTGTTATTATAAAATATTTTAAAGTAAAAAAATATTTGATTTGCTTGGAGAATTTTAATCGATATAAAATATTTTACACTCAAAGAAACAAATAAGCTTAAAATAACGAGAAATAATTTATGAATTTAAAAAAATTAAAACATTTTACAAAACTAGTCTCAATAATAAATCATGCGCCCCACCATCAATTAATTCTTATAATTTCCTTTATAAAACTTTTTTCATAAATAGCAAACACTTAATTCAAATAGTTTTTAATAACATAATCAAATAATGAAAAATAAATATTTTTCATATACCATATTTTCCGAAACAAGTTATTTTACAAGAAAAAGAAATGGAGTCTAGAATTTCACTAATCTAAGGGATACATAAATCTATATAACTTTGGAAGGCCAGCAATGCCAACTTCCATGAAGATTTTGATTTTTTCTTTCTCCAAAATTGCTCTCTTGCTTCAGAAAGATGGATGGCTCTGTAGCTCCATGCCTCCCCTGAGTCCATTGCAGCAAGAGCAGGGAGGAGGCAACCATGTGATAATGAGAAATGCAGGCCTTATTGCCATCCCCTTTTGATACCTTGCAGAGACTTGAACCAAGGTTAACCTGATGGAGCTGTAAACTTCATCATTTGAAGCAGCAAATCCCATCACTCAGTGTAGAAGATCCCAGTTGGTTTAAAATGCTATAGGCATCATCTGTATTGTAGCAACCATGGAAGCTTAACCTCCATAAAATTAAATCCTAGTTAGTTTAAAATCCCATCATTTGTATTTTCTTGTTTGATGACTGAATCTCCAATACCAACAACTGGTAGAGAAGATAATAAAGAGTAAGTAGAGAAATGGTGACTCCTTGTCTGCTTGGCAGTTTTCTACAAATATAATAGAGAATAAATAGAGATTTTGCAACCGAATTTTTTTCTTGGCAAATTGATATTAGCAGCCACACAACAAAAACACCAGAAGCCTATGAAGAACAGCTTCAGCAGACAACAACAATAACACCACAACGATTACAACCTCTGCAGCAGCTTCAACAGCAACACCACGACGATTACAGTCTTTGCAGCAGCTTCAGCAGGCACCACAACAATTACAGCCCTGTCACAATCTTGATCAACACCTATCAGTTTATCACACCAACATCAAAGATTGCATGGATAACTCACCGACGACTACTTCACTTCAGAATAGTAACTCATCATACATGGCAACTGCAGCAGCCGTGAATATAGGAATAAAATCTCCTTATAGTATTGATACATTAGAGACATATCAGACTCCATAAATAAAGCATCCTGCAACTATGGAAAGATAATTAAACGAGAAATCCTATAGCTATGGAAAGTCAATAGTTGCTTTAAAATATAGAACATCATAGGCAATGTAATACATTCAGCGTGCTCACGTTTGGAACCAAGTGTGTGTGTGTGTGTGACAGAATTAAAAAAAATACAATAAGTATTTCTTCACCGATTGTCCATTTTTTCTTTTTTCTCTTGGCATCAGAGCTCGAGTGAGCACACACAAAACAACACCCTATCAAAGCCCCAAGGCTGTTCTATTCAGAGCTGGCATCTCAGCTCGAAAAATTTTAACCAGCGTCATAGCTGGTTCTCATCTCATATAGACATTATAAACACATAATTCACTCAACAACTTACATTTTATAGGCAACAACAATAATGTAATCAGCAGTGCACACAACACCCTTCCTCAGCACTTCACAACAGCTCATATCAATTTTCATTCAATGGGAGAGGGTTTCAAACCCAGCAAAACCTAGAGATCAAAACAAGAGATATTTCACACCAGATATTTAACGACACCTCCCATCACTAGAAGAACATCGTATAACCCAAACAGAAAGAGATCTTTATCATGAATACAAATGCCAATATTGTGGTACAATGAGTCATATTGCTAAAATCTATTGGTAGGTGCCCAAAAAGGAAAAAAAATTCTAGGATAGTAAAATCCCACAAATACTGGCAATTCTTACACTAGAAAACACCGTTGCAGATATAAAATAGACATCAGAAACTAGTGCCTCAAATCACATGACATCTAAGCTAAGTATATTAATTGACATTCGAGAATATTTTGGTAATGATTCTATCATTATTGGTAATGGTTCTTCTCTACCCATTATTGGTATTAGAGATTCCGTCATTAAACAAGAAAATACCCCTGTTGGGATCCAACCCATGTTCACATAATCACATGATGTATCATATGCTTTACCCTTAATCAAGGCCATGGTTATTACACTTAAACTATCCGATGGGTTAACCTGCTAACTGAATTGATTCAAGTAAGATAAAAGATCGAGATAAATAAAAACTTCACAAAATTTGATTGGAAAAAGATAAAAGATCGAGATAAATAAAAACTTTACAAAATCTGGTTGGGATCTTTTATTTTTTTTCATGTGTTTTTTCTTCCAACAAAAAATCCATCTTTTTTTATATTTTCTAACTAGTTACTATCCTTTTCAAAATTTATTATATAAATATTAGAAAAATATTTATTTTTTTAATTTATAATTTAAAATTATTTAGTATATATACTCTATATTTACAAAAAAAAAATTATATTTTTTCAATATGAGATAAAAAATATTTTTTAGTTTAAATATTTTAATTTAAAAAGATAACATACTAACATAATATTTTTTCAATATATAATAAAAAACATTTTAAAATTCATTATTTATAACATATCTAACCTATATTCTCATAGATTTTTTATTTTTATTTTTTTTATATAAAATATTAAAATTTTAATTTTTTTTAAATTTTTTTCTAGATTGACCTGAATCAATCCATGTCACCCGGATCCCAACTCTTTGGTTGAATAAACCTCCAAATCAGATCTAATAACTATTATCGAGGTAATAGTTTAAATATTTTAATTTAAAAAGATAATATTCTAACATAATATCTTTTCAATATATAATAAAAAATATTTTAAAATAATATTTTAAATTTCATTATTTATAACATATCTAACTTATATTCTCCTAGATTGTTTTTTTTTTATTTTTTTTATATAAAATATTAAAATTTCAAAAAAATTTTAAATTTTTTTCTGGACCTGAATCAACCCACGTCACCCGGATCCCGACTCTTTGGTTGAATTAACCTCCAAGTTAGATCTAATAACTATGATCGAGGCAATAACAACAATGATATATTGTCCATTTGTCCTTTTAGCTTTAATATCAATATAAATCGAGATTGAAATCAGGTTTAGCTTATATTCACATTGATCGTTTTCTAAATTTTTTTATATGAAATATTAAAATTTTAAATATTTTTTTTAATTTCTAGATTAATCTGGGTCAATCCATGTAATCCGAAACCTAGATTCTTAGTCGGGTAAACCCCAGGTCAGATATGAGAACTATGCTTGAGGCAATAGGCAATAGCACAACACTGACGTATTGCCCATGTGTCCTGTTAGCTTCAATAGCAATATAAATTGAGATTGAGATCAGCTCAACAGCAATGCTTTCCAAAAAAGAGAGGGTAAAAAAAAGAAGGAAAGCAATGAGATAGAGAATGTGAAGCAATTGATTCAGACATTAATTCAAGCTATATAAATGCTAATAAGGAAGCAAATTGTGGTTGCAATCTAGAAAATATATGACTAGACACGAGAATTTCACTGCTGTAGTAAGATTATTCACGAGAGAAGATGATATAAAGTGAAATACCAGCAAAGAGGAAGCCTTCTTGATTTGTCTGCAAGCATATTCAAGGCAAAATAATCTATGAACGGACAGAGACAATATTATAATCCTTCAGACATGTACAGCTATGTTTAAATTACCAAGC